GGGCGGCTGGGCACTTCTAAGGGAAGTGACCTTTGGACAAGCTCTGGGGTGGGAGGTGGAGGACAGATCCTAAGGCAGCAACGTGTGTCGGGGAATTTGAAGGGTTGTAAAAAGGCCAGGCTGGTGAGGCCAGGCAGTCCCCGGGTGGAAGAATGGAGGCAGTGGTCCCAAGGTTTCATGCCATCCTTGCACCAACGCTGCACAAAACTCGAGTGTGCTCCTCCGAAAAAGGCAATCAGACCCCAAGTCAAACTACTCTAGGAGAGTTTCTCATCACTGATGGGCTGGCCAGCCAGCTGGGCCGGCTCTTGAGTTTGCAGGAGCCCTGTGTTTGGGAGAGACCCCCGCTCACCAAGCAAGCTGGGGGAGGGGCCTTCCTCTTACACTGGCTTGCTTTTCGGCTCAGGGAGTGAATCACAGACAGTGAGGCACGGGTCCTTGGCTCAGGATTTCCTGGTGTTTCCTGCCTGCAAGAGCAGCCCCGCTCTCAGGGGCAGCAGCCCACCACTCCTTGACGTCAACTCTCCTTTTCATGAATGGATTTCCTTTTCCGTTTGGGAAGACACGATCTCGGTCATCAGTCCATCAACCCTGTCTGTCTTGCCCTGGCACCTCCTGTTTGGGAAGAAGCAAGCAGACTAACCAGGAGGCAGTGGGTGAGCACAGGAGGTGAGGGAGGGAGACTCAGCAGATGGGCTTCCGAGACACCTCGGGGTTTTCAGAGGACACATGCTTTCTTGCCCGAGGTCATCAAGGTGTAACTTGCAGCTGTCCTTGCGTCTGCCTAGACTGCTTGTCCTCCAAGTAGCTTGGGGCACTACCAGGCAGACTTGGGTCAACTGTATTAGCTGAGCGTGACTTATCTCCTCTATGCATTCTCCCTAACTAGACCAGACAAGACCCTTGGAGGAAGCAGTGTTTGTCCTGTTACCATGGAAAAATGTAACCATGTAAAAAATTGCTCAATCCCTTAAAACCATTACTTAAAATTTTTGCAACCTCTCAATGTGCGTGTTGGAGGGCAAAATCATAGTTGCCTCATTCTGGTTGTAGCTCTGTTTCAAAGTAGCCACGAAGGCCAGAGGCTCTCCGTGTGTGGCTTCAGAAAGGATTGGGATCATTGCTTGCTGTTTATGCTTAATGTAAATAGTCCTTAGTTTACCTTACCGTCCTGTTGATATCTCTATGTGCCACTACAGTTTACTTGAGATCAGAAGTTCACAGCAGGGTGGTACTATTGTTGTTTATTTCGCTTAATACCTCACTCAGCAAAGCATCACATGTAAAAAGAAACTGCCAGCTCTTCTCCAGATGGTCAGGATGCTGCTGTGGTCCACGTGTTACCCATTGCCCAGCATCATGGTGTGGCAGTTCGGCAACTTGACTCTGCAACTGCTCTCTGCCAGGCACTGTGCAAAAGTCGAACCAAGCAAAGAACAGTTTCATTCGAGTTCCTGGAAATTAGGCAACTTGATGAGTCACCACTTCTAACTTGGAAGAGCTGAATCAAATTCCACCCTGTATTTGTAAAGCTATCTGAAACTTAAGGGAAAAATGAAAACCTGAAATACTCATTGATTGTAAACAATCTGGAAAATCTTGAGTAGCACCAAATAACCAATGTTAACATTTTGGTGTAATTTACTTTCAGTCTATCTGTACACACACTCTTTTCCCAATTTTTAACAGAATGGCATACGCTCTATACTACTCTTTGAAATTTGGATTTTACATTTAATTAACATTCTTCTTTTTGTTGTTGCTGCATTGAATGGCATGGGGGAGTGGCTTGTGGGATCTTAATTCCCAACCAGGGACTGAACCCCGGAGCCATGGCAGTGAAAGCACAGAGTCCTGACCACTGGACTGCCGGGGAACTCCTTATAACTGTTCTTCTAAAACATACCTTTAGAATGAATGCATGGTCTTCCAACATAATGATGTACCGTTATGTAACTAACTTCCCACCTATTGAATGCTTTCATGTTTTTGATATAGACAAAGTTGAGATGAACATTTTTGTAGAGAATGCATAATTGATTTCTTCAGGATAATTTGATGAGAGCAGAATTCAGAATATTCTGTATCCAATGTGTCCATATTCTTTTAACCACACAACACCTCCCCTGGAATAAGGACTATATAATCATCCCCTACAGCTTTTCCAGTTTCCAATTCCCAGCCTATGTGGGTTCTGCCAAGGAAACACTTGTTATAGATGAAGTTATCATTTAACTTTTCTTTAAAATTTACTTATTTATTTTGGCTGCACTGGGTCTTCTTGCTTTGCTTTGCATGGGCTTTGTCTAGTTGCTCCTGGCGGTGGGTGGGTGTCTTCCTTGCAGGGTATGAGCTTCTCATTGCAGTGGCTTTCTCCTTGTGGAGCATGGGCTCCAGGTGGTTGGGCTGCAGTTGTTGCAGCCAATGGCTTAGAAGCTGCTGTGGCATGTGGAATCTTCCCGGACCAGGGACTGAACGCATGTCCCCTATATTGGCAGGTAGATTTCTATCCATTGTGACACCCGGGAAGTCCCATCCATTATCATCTTAAAATCAGCAAAGGAGAAAAGGAAAGATATACCCATCCGAGTGCAGAGTTCCAAAGAATAGCAAGGAGAGATAAGAAAGCCTTCCTCAGTGATCAATTCAAAGAAATAGAGGAAAACAATAGAATGGGAAAGACTAGAGATCTCTTCAAGAAAATTAGATACCAAGGGAACATTTCATGCAGAGATGGGCTCAATAAAGAACATAAATGGTATGGACCTAACAGAAGCAGAAGATATTAAGAAGAGGTGGCAAGAATACACAGAACTATACAAAAAAGATCTTCATGACCTAGATAATCACAATGGTGTGATCACTCACCTAGAGCCAGACATCCTGGAATTTCAAGTCAAGTGGGCCTTAGGAAGCATCACTACAAACAAAGCTAGTGGATGTGATGGAATTCCAGTTGAGCTATTTCAAATCCTAAAAGATGATGCTGTGAAAGTGCTGAACTCAATATGCCAGCAAATTTGGAAAACTCAGCAGTGGCCACAGGACTGGAAAAGGTCAGTTTTCATTCCAATCCTGAAGAAAGGCAATGCCAAAGAATGCTCAAACTACCACATAATTGCACTCATCTCACATGCTAGTAAAGTAATTCTCAAAATTCTCCAAGCCAGGCTTCAACAATATGTGAACCATGAACTTCCAGATGTTCAAGTTGGTTTTAGAAAAGGCAGAGGAAGCAGAGATCAAATTGCCAACATCTTTTGGATCATCGAAAAAGCAAGAGAGTTTCAGAAAAACATCTATTTTTGCTTTATTGACTATGCCAAAGCCTTTGACTGTGTGGATCATAACAAACTGGAAAATTCTGAAAGAGATGGGAATACTACACCACCTGACCTGCCTCTTGAGAAATCTGTATGCAGGTCAGGAAGCAACAGTTAGAACTGGACATGGAACAACAGACTGGTTCCAAATAGGAAAAGGAGTACGTCAAGGCTGTATATTGTCACCCTGTTTATTTAACTTATATGTAGTGTACATAATGAGAAATGCTGGGCTGGATGAAGCACAAGCTGGAATCAAGATTTCTGGGAGAAATATCAATAACCTCAGATATGCAGAAGACACCACCCTTATGGCAGAAAGTGAAGAAGAACTAAAGAACCTCTTAATGAAAGTGAAAGAGGAGAGTGAAAAAGTTGGGTTAAAACTCAACATTCAGAAAACTAAGATCATGGCATCTGGTCCCTTCACTTCATGGAAAACTGATGGGGAAACAGTGACAACAGTGGCAGACTTTATTTTGGGGGGCTCTAGAATCACTGCAGATGGTGATGGCAGCCATGAAATTAAAAGACACTCCTTGGAAGGAAAGTTATGACCAATCTTGACAGCATATTAAAAAGCAGAGACATTACTTTACCAACAAAGATCCGTCTAGTTAAGGCTATGGTTTTTCGAATAGTCACGTATGGATGTGAGTTGGACTATAAAGCAAGCTGAAAAAAAATAAAATAAAAAATAAAGCAAGCTGAGCACCGAAGAATTGATGCTTTTGAACTGTGGGGTTGGAGAAGACTCTTGAGAGTCCCTTGGACTGCAAGGAGATCCAACCAGTCCATCCTAAAGGAAATCAGTCCTGAATGTTCATTGGAAGGACTGATGCTGAAGCTGAAACTTCAGTACTTTGGCCACCTGATGCGAAGAGCTGGCTCATTTGAAAAGATCCTGATGCTGGGAAAGACTGAAGGAAGGAGGAGAAGGGACAACAGAGGATGAGATGGTTGCATGGCATCACCAACTCGATGGACATGCATTTGAGTAAACTCCAGGAGCTGGTGATGGATAGGCAGGACTGGCGTGCTGCAGTCCATGGGGAGGCAAAGAGTCGGACACGACTGAGTGAACTGATTGACAAGAAGTGTTCTTGGCTATAGGGATGAGCTCCTTCAGCTACTTTGGCCATGGGGCCCTAGTTCCCAGAGGGAGGTTATAACCATGTGTATGCATTTGGGCTCATAGAGGTGTCTTCACTGCACCTAGACTGGGTGAGCCGCTCTCTGTCCTCGAGCTGCAGGCCTGGAGCTGACCAGGTGAAACATCGTCCTGCCTGGGTCTGGTGTGGATTTTTCCGTCCTCAGTCCGCTGGGGTAAGTCAACAGGTCACCCCCTTCTGGACATCTTACCCAACACTTGGAGGCGGGGCTCGGCCTCTCAAGTCCAGCCTGAACTCGATCCCGGAACCTGGACAGGTGATGCCCCGCCCCCACTACTCTCCACCCCCTTGTCCGGTATCGAGGCCGAGTCAGGGGATGCTGAGGCCCGCCCTCTTTTCTCCCACGGCCTGGCTCCAGCTCTCAGCACACCTGTGCCCACCTGGCAGGAAACCGAAGCAGAGGGGCGGGGCCGCCGGCGCTCCCGGCTCGCGCGCGCGGCCGCTGTCAGCGCGCGCGGGTGTCAATAAAGTTCTCACGCGCCGGAAGCGGAAGCGGCGAGTCTCCATGGCGGCGGCGGCGGCGGCAGGACCGGTGTTCTGGAGGCGGCTGCTGGGCCTTCTGCCTGGCCGCCCCGGGCTGGCTGCGCTCCTGGGGCGCCTGTCCGACCGCCTCGGCAGGAACCCGGACCGCCGGCGCAGGAGGTGAGAGGGCAGCGGGGCTGCAGGCGCGCCCGCTCCCCCCCCCCCCCGACCCGGACCCCAAGCCCCCTGGCGTGGTGGCGAGACCTCCGTGTCCCCCGCGCAGGCCTGCCCGGCCCCACTTTGCAGCCAGCCTTCCCGGGAAACGGGGGCCCCGCGAGCGAGGTCGGCTGGGCCTTCCCGGGGCTGCGATGGGCGAGCCCGACCCCGGTCCGCGTACGCTGGAGCCAGGGGGCTCCTGTGTGTGCACTCTGGGCGGGGGGTGGGGTGGGGTGGGGTGCTGAGTTCGTGCTTTTCTTTGGGCCCCAGGGTGTGAGTGTTGGAGAGTGTTCGCGAGAGACACTGCTTGGGTCCGGAGGGGTCTTTTCCTTAAGTAATCCTAGCTGCGGGGGTGACTTGGCGGGAGTGAATCAGCCCTGCTGGGATTCTGTGCATGCAGCGTTTCTCACATCCTGCCAGAGGGCTGTGAAGCAATCCTGAGTCAGGAACACTCCGGCAAGGGAAGAGGAACCACTCGAAACCCCTTTTACACTTTGCAAAGGGCCTGTGTTCTGGAAAAGTACTGAAGTGACTTATGAAAGTGGTGAAGGAGGCTTTGAAGCAATTCTCCCAGGCAGTGATTTTTCAAAGTAAACATTTACCAAGAACATGTTGACCTAAGAGGCCTGCTGCTGTTGCTAATATTAAAAAAAAAAAAAAAAAAGAAAAAAAGAATCTGTGCAGTTTTTTTTTAAGAGACTCGAGCTTTACACTTATTTTTTAAGAAAACAAACATGTAGAACTGCATCCTTTCCTAGAGTTTACGCCTATCTTAGATTTTCATTTGCTACTTGGGTGAAATTTGACTTTCTGGCATTTGGTAGATCTGTGGTCAGTCCAGTGCTGATTCTAGGTATGGAAAGGAACTTGTTTCATATTGGGTGATATTGGAAGATTTTCAGCAAAAAATTAAAGTTTGATTTAGGGGAAGTTTTTGTGATAGAATCAGCACAGGTTGGAACTCTTGGAAGCTTACTGATAAGAATAGCTTTAAATTTCACATCAGTGAACCTAGTGGGAGTGGTGTATAAAAGAGGTGGCCTCCCTTTTCTGTAATTGGTGCTTAACAAAGACCTGTTCACACCAGTGGATAGTCAAGTCAAATGACTTCTATGTCCTGACCTCAACCCACTAAGAAATTTGGTTTAAAGTTTGAAAAAAGGCTCTGAAGGACAAGATGTTTAGGCCATTTTGTCATTTCCCTGTATATATTTAAACCGTACAAGAAAACACTTCATGATTAATCATTGTTTAACATTGGAATTGATTACTAAAAGATGTTGAGGCAATAGCGACAAATTCTTCCAAGATAGACATTTCTCTTGAGTGTGTGTGTGTGTGTGTGGAAGGGAGTAGTGTAGCAGTGGCAATAGTCTAAATTGACTTCTTAAGGTCTTTTGTAAATAGCATCAGTGGATGCAGGTGTTATGGCTCCATATTGATTAAGTTGAGAGTTATTTCTGTGGGTCGGTACTTAAACCAGGAACCCAGTGAAATCACAGAAACACAATTGTCCGAAATTTTTGTCTTCTGATGCCCGTGCTAGGGTGGAGGATACATACCTTGAGCGGTATTACTACAATACTGTTGATATCTGACCCTTTCTTTGTCTTACTTGATTTGCAGATTTTTTTCTGCTTCTCTGTGGTTTGGGTGTTTGGGGTTACTCATGTCTCTATGGCCACTCACCTCTAGTGGCTGCTGACTTTCGTTTCTTCTCCATTGTTCAGTTGCACCTCCCAATTCCTCATTCCCCGAATGATGTGGTTTCTTGTAACTGATCATTGATTCATTGATAATAATTCTGTGTAGTCATGAACTTAACATTATTTTAGATTTTAGCTTGCCAGTCTGACTCAGCTGTTGGAGTGCCTGGTGATTCCTTGTGGCTAGCAAGGGGAGTGGTGAGAGGGAACAGTTCTTTACTGCAGTTGTTTCCTTTTAAAGAGACAGCCATAGTGACAGAGAACACTACTTAAAATTACTTCTAATTAGTGATATGGAAATACTGTTGTTTTTCTCTTGAGCAGGCATCTGACTCATCATGGACAGCTGGATTCACTCACTCAGCCTGCGTGTGTAGGGCACTGCTGTGCCTGTGTTAGGCCCCAAGGAAACAGAAATACAGAGTGCCACCTTCATGGTGCTCAGACCCATAAACAGACAATAATAATAGTAAAGGAGGGTAGGGAAGGTCACGGCAGCACTGCAGCATACCTGGAAGTCACAGAGGCCGCCGGGTGGTGGTGGTCTTGGAGTTGTGTCTTTGAGGTGTGTTGTAGTGGGCTGGATGGGGAAGTGGGGAGCCAGTGTTCACAGGAGGATAGTGAGTGATGTGCTCCTAGGTCGATGGGGACAGCAGTGGAAGGCAGCTCTGAGCTCCCACAGGTCTTCAGACTGTTTTCAGGAGTCAGCTGGGTATGGAGGAGGGTTGGGAGGGAGAGAGGGGAGCTGGGCCAAGCCCTGGGGACACTGGCTCTGAGAGACCCCGTGCAGTTTCTCTGGCTAACTCGTCTCGGCCCGATGGGGTGGGACTTGCTTGCTTGCGGGGAGAGGTGAGGGGGTTGGATTGGAGTCAGCCGTGGTGCGGGTTGTGTGGGGAGGGTTGCTGAGGAGGCAGGTCATGTTTCTGGTTGGGGCAGCCACAGGAGCGGCGGCACGCTTCACCAAACCGGGGAGTGGGAAAGAGGGCCAGGTCGGGGATGCTGACTGGGTGAGTTCAGGGCATGTCAGTTAGCATCCAAGGTGGGTCTAAGCGGAGGCACTCCCTGTTCAGGTGACTGGCAGGTCCGTTGCCCCGAGAGGGAGACAAACTTCGGGAAGTTTCTTGGCGTCCTTGGACTAGTCAGAACTGGCTCATTATTTGGAACAGATGAGACCTGGTGGGAGCTGTGTCAGGAGGGCCTTAGCTCCTAACCGAGCTTGCCTGCCATACAAGGAGATATTTTCTCTGTGGTCTCCTTTTTCTTTTTTAAAAGCTATTTTCAGTTTGAGCTATGTGCGTAAAAGTCTTTATTTTTGAAACCCAAGGTCTGTTTTCTTTCTTCTAGGTGTGTGTATGCCTGCATGTGTGGGGGGGAGTGGAGGTGGTGTGAGGGTGGGGTGTCCTGACTTTCCTGAGTTGTCAGAGGGGAGTGTCACCAGCAAACTGTTCTTTTTATTGCTTTTTTTTTTTTTTACTTGTAATGCCAGTTCAACCTACTCTTGTTCAACTTCTTAGTGGTTTACACTCTGAGGGACCACCAGATTTCCAGAAATTACTCTTTCTCTGAATTTTCCCAGTTCCCCCTTACTCATTAGAGTTCAGTACAGCCATCTGTTGGTTATTTATTTTAGCAATAGAATGGGTGGGGAGGTGGGGGAGGGCATTTAGAATCAAAGCATGATTTCCCCAAATAATTCAAATTAGACCTTGTAGAGAACTAAATTAAGATTTGCAGCTGACTGACCTTTACATGGTAGCTTTAATTAAGATCCTATTAACCTGAGTACCCTCTGAGCACATTGCTGCTGGTGATGAATTAGGCTGGTCAGCCAGCTGTGTACTTGTGGATGGATAGAAACTAGCCTGGGATTAAAGCGTTCTGATAGATAATCCCGTGGTAAACAAGTGATCTGAGTAATGTAAACGAGTTGTTTTCAAAGCTGCCGGGAAGTCAAGCCGCTTGAGGGAAGTCAGGCTGGATTAGTAGCACGTGTGAGTGGTTCTCGGCAGAGGCTGCCGGGAGCCCGTGGCTCCCGAGGAGCATCAGGGTCAGAAGGCTGCAGTAGGTCTCTGGCCCCTGGATGTAATCGAGTTCTGAAAAGCCAAGAAGAGGGTCACCGGGGCCGGGTATAACCTTACGCTGGCAGCCCCGGCCCGGTGCCGGACTTCTTATAGGAGTGCAGCGGCTGTTGGTCTTCTGAAGTGACCTACGGGAATTCACACTCATTTCCCTTACTTGGGGTTAAGGGCTTGCGTTAGTCAGGAAGGGCCGCCTGCTGCCCGGGCTGCAGGAAGTCTGGTCCCTTCGTGTAGTTTCTCATGTAGTTTCTCGAGCCTTTCTCAGGAAGTGTTATGACTGTTGCTCTTTTTTCATCACTTCACCTCTTTACGTTTAAGTGTGTGTGACGGGGGTGGGGTGGGGGTTTCTTAAAAAGCAGTTTCTGAAAATAATGGCAATCCAGAGTCCTATTTCTTTTAAAAGCTTCTTTCTTTTTCTTGTTGTTTCGTCCCGATTTGGGTGGGACCCAAGCCACAGCATGTGTACCACGAATCTTCTCGTACAGTTCCCGGAGAGTTTGTGGACATTCAGACCACGACCCTGAGTGCGGGATACTTAGGTAATGCCCTTGCGTGGTACGGGGGACGGAGCTCCTCTGCTGCCCGTGGAGGATTTGCGGTTGGTGTAGGAGACAGTCCTCCGGTAGCCCCCTTTTTTTCCTTCAGAGCCCCACATTCCCTGTTTTGCAGAGACCCTAGGAGGCTGGCCTGCTTCCTCGTGTCCACAGGTAGCGCGGGTGGTACCGTTCCGCGCCCCCCCCCCCCGGGGAGCCCCCGTGTCCTCTGAGGCCGTGAGAGCCGCGGGCAGCCTGGCGGAGGTGAACTGCAGACCCAGGCGGGATTCTCAGATGTCAGCTTTCCTTGGCACTGCTGCTGCCCCCGGGAGGGCTCGGTCAGACCTCCAGGCGCACTGTCTTGCATCCCGGTGCAGGGGGAGGGCAGCCTGTGTGGCGATTCTCCCCCCGGAGCATGTGCAGTTTCAGAACGTTTGGTGGAATGGAAAACTCCGGTCCTCCCACACAGGAGAATGCCTTCTCCCGTTTCCCTGGGCTTCTTTTGCACAAAGGGGTGTTGATGGCGTCTCTGCAGCTCTTCTGCCCCCTCTCTCTCGGTTCTGCTGGCTCCTCTGAGCCCCGGTCCTACTGCCGTCCAGTACCTCTCGTGAGTCAGCGCGGTGCACCATCCTGTCTAGGACGGCCTGGCAGGGTTCTGCCGCCCTTGCTCTAATGGCGGGCCCGTCTGTGGACACGAGTGTCACGGCACACGGTTCTTGGCCACGGCGGGCCAGGTATGGATTCCTCTTGGAGAGGCTGGGAAGAAGCCTCCCTCTCTTCCCCGCTGCCCCGCTTCATACTCACTGTGCCTGCCTAGTCGCCCCCCGCCCCCCCCATCCTCTCACCCTATGCCCCGAGGCCCCTCTCCGGGTGGAGGGAGTGGCCCCAGGTCAGGGGTCCTCAGCTTAGGCCCAGCTCAGGGAATGCATCTGCAGATTCCACGGGAAGTCCTCCGCCACGAGGCTGGCCCTCTCCCTGAGCCAGGTGTCCTGTGGGGGGTGGCTGGAGCTGCCTATGGAGAGGTTGCTCTCCCATCCCTCCTTCAGAATTGTGAGCTGAGGATTGTTTCGCATTGTTTGCAGCTGAGGGCTGTAGTGAAGCCGTTAAGCTTGCCTGAGTTTGAGTTCCAGGGCGCGCCCTTGCTCTGGCCCAAGCCCTGTCCTCTAAACCCCCCTGCAACCTGGAGTCAGGGTGGGAGAGGGAGGCAGAGCCTTATCTGGCTCCCCAGCCCTGCCACTTCCTCCTCCCTCTAACTGGAAATGGGAGCTCGATGGTATCTAGAAAGATGATTCAGGGGAGCGCAGGGCTCGATGTGGAAATTGTGTGTGTGAAGGTCTAGTTCTCTAAATGGTGAGTGCGACAGCTCTGCTTTCTTTGTAGAGTAACCGCAGCTCCCTGCCTCCTCTCGTCTCTCAGGGGTTAGGGTTTTGACCTGGGACAGCTGCCTGGGGTGGGGGGAGTTGCTTGTGCAGGTGGGCCCCTGGAGGCTGGGATTACCATGCAGCAGGGGCTGTGGCTGGCCAGGGGGAGACCTTTTCTGAGAAGATTCCCAGGAGTCCCTCGTGGAAAGCGAGAACTCACCCCCATGGGGATCTGGCTGAGACGATCAGAGAACGTGGGCCCCGGCACAGTCTCCCCGCTCTGAGGGCTGGCTGCTTCTGCCCCGGTGGGGCCGCAGTTAGATTTTGAGGGTCTGGGGCTTGGGTGTGGCCCTCTTCCTGGCCTGTGCTGGCCTTGTGGGGCCTTTATTAAACTCTGCTCGTTTTCCAAGCACCTTCCTCTTTGGGATGGAAAGCTGCCTCTCATGGGTTGGGTCTCCTCCACCACGAGTCCCTGAAGCCCAACTGGCTTTCAGTTCCTTCTCCTCTCTAACAAAAATAAACCTGTCTGAACACAGGTTAAACAGGAAACAAGGTAGAAAAGCCCTCAGTAGATCTTGGAACCGAGCCCCGGTGGAAGCTTCCTGGGAGAGCTGCCCGGCAGGCCCGAAACCTGCCCACGGTGGCCCCAGGCGAGCTGGTCTGCTGAGCCCCTCTCGCAGGTGGCGGGGCGCCAACCCCCCTGCGCTCACCGTGTCTTCTCTGGACTGCCTGTTGAGCCCCTCCTGGGTTTTTCTGGCGCCAGTGGGTTTTGACAGTCCTGCCTCTTTCCCACGCACACACCTGCCCTGGCTTGGGAACCCCCCGCCCCCAGCTGCACTTCCTATCTGAATCCCACCAGGCGATCAAAGCCCCTTTCTAGGGAGGGTTGTTGTGAGGCTTCCCCAGCGGCTCAGGCATCAGCAGCTCCCCTGTGTGATCACTTGAAGCACATGCGCCGTTTGTGTATTTTGACTTTTCCTGAATCAGTCTTAGCGGTTTCCTTTGTGTTCTTAGATGATTTCAGGTGTGTAAGCTGGTGAGGCCACCAGGCCTGTGGGCGGCGGGGCCCTGGGCCAGCCGTGCCTCCCCCGAACAGCATCAGTGCTCACGTGACCACTTGGATTGAGGCCCAAGTTGGCACTTGCCTTTTCCTGGGTTGCTGTGTGGCAAAGAGGTGTTTGCTCATCTTGCTTTTTGGGAGTGGCTCTGAGTCTGTTGGCTCATCTGAAGAGCTTGGGGGGACTGACTGCGTGGCCTGGGGCGCAGGTGTCGCCCTGGACCTGTTTAATCTGGTCTGAGTGATACAAGTGCTCTGAGGCTGGGAGATGAGTTGATCTTATGGTGCTGAGGGGTTTTCCACCTCAAGCAGACTATTTAATTACTGAGTATTAGACTTCTGGGGCTTCCCAGGTGGCGCCAGTGGTGAAGGACTCACCTGCCAATGCAGGAGACATAAGAGATGTGGGTTTGATCCCTGGTTGGGGAAGATACCCTGGAAGAAGGCGTGGCAACCCACTCCAGTATCCTTGGCTGGAGAATCCCAGGTTGACAGAGGAGCCTGGCAGGCTACAGTCCATACGGTGTCAAAGAGGCGGACGTGACTGAAGCGACTTAGCACACGTTAGACCCTTCAGGCCCCCTTTGGGGCTTCATGTTGAGTGTTGAGCACGTTCCCGTTCTCATGGTTTTCCGCTGGACCAAAGGCTCTCTGTCCCCCCTCCGGAAGGTGGCCTGGAGCGCAGCAGAAGCACAGCCTCCGTTTTGGGAAATCGAGGCTGCAGCCCCTTGTTTGCACATCCAGGCCTTTCATTTGCTGCTCTTTACGGGGAAGCTGGAGGAGAAAAGTAGCAAGTGATGGCTGGGAGTGTGGTCCCCACCTCCTCAGAGGTGGTGGGAAGGGACCTCTGCTCGGAGGCCTGTGGCGAACCCTGGCTTCCCAGGGTCCAGAGCCGGTGCCTTCCACCCGTTGACTAAAGATTTCTTGGCAGTGAGTCGCCGTGACCGCCAGTGGGCTTTCTGGGAAGCCCAGCTGCTGGCCATCTGGCGTGTGTGGAGGGACATTCACGAACCCTGGGAAGATTCAGTGTTTTATCAGGAGACAAGTGAATGAAATCATCTTCCTGGAATCTGTGGCCCTGCAGGCCTCGGGGTGTTTAGCATCCTCTCCCTAGAGTCCCTCATGAGGCCATGGTGAAGGTCACCGGCTGAAGAGGATTTTCCTACTACTCTTTGCTGGAAGCCAGACAGGGGTGAGGCACAGCGGACAGGGGGCCATTCACTGCGGGCTTGGCCTCAGTGGCAGGGAGCCCGCCAGAGATGGGGTGTGACCCCCTGAGGAGGCTGGGTCCAGTGGTGAAGGCGCAGTTGTTGTCACCACTGGCCCCTCTTGCGATGCTCACTTCCCCAGCTTCTTCCACCTTTTCCTTCTGTCTGTGCTATGTGCAGTCGCTTCAGTCATGTCTGACTCTTTGTGACCCCTTGGACTGTAGCCTGCCAGGCTCCTCAGTCCATGGGATTTCCCAGGCAAGAATACTGGAGTGGGTTGCCAGTTCCTTCTCCAGCGGATCTTTCTGAGCCAAGGATCAAAGCCACATCTCTCAAACATTCCCTGCATTGGCAGGCAGGTTCTTTACCACTAGTGCCACCTGGGAAGCTGAGTATTAAAGAGAAAACTTAATTTTTTTTTTCTGGTTCCTTCCCTTAATAAAAGGCCATTTATCTCATCAGAGAACCAGGGGTCTGGGTCGCAGTCACCAGACTGAGACCAGACCTGCCCTTGCTCTGGGTGGCCTGTGGCAGCTTTCTGCAGGTGAGTTTTTGTTGGGAGTATTAACCAGGTGATGGCCTTCTGAGTTTACTTGTTGCTGCTCTAAATTTTTAGTTGTTTGCAGTCAGTGTAAAGTTTGGGATTTATCTATTGGCACTCTTAAGTTGCTTGACTCGTTGGAGTTGAAGAAAAACTCTTGCAGGTTTGACTGGGGCTCGCTTAAAATGGTCTAGAAGATCTGAGGTTCTCAAAAAAAAACATTTTTTTTTCTTTCCTTATTTGCCTGTAGGAGCTGAGAGAGACTTGTGAGGGGTCTTTGAGGCGTGTGACAGACTGTGTGTGTCTCTTCCAGGTCGCCATGGCTGCTGTTGGCCCCTCTCCTGTCCCCCGCAGTCCCCGCGGCCCCCTCGCCTCCGTGCTGCCTATGTGCAGAGGGCGTGCATCGCTTCCAGTGGATCAGGAACCTGGTTCCAGAGTTTGGCGTCTCCAGCTCTCACGTCAGGGTGCTTTCTTCCCCAGCGGAGTTTTTTGAGCTCATGAAAGTAAGTTGTGTCTGAGAGAGGTTCAAGTGTGGGATTAGAGGTTGGGTGAGCCCTGAGCCGAAACATCCATTGTAGAAGCTTTCGATGGCTGCTCAGCTCTGCCTGTCAGGAGTCAGGCTCACACCTGGCTGAGTCACACCATGACCAAAGGCTCCCTGCACGGCGGAGGTCTCAGGTGGAACACCTCAGAGCGTGGGGGCCGTGAGGGTCGGGTCCCAGGTGTCGGTTCTTGTGGACGGGTGGATTCTCTGTTGCATGTCTGCGATGGAGGCTAGCTGGGAGGTTAGTGAGAGCTTGGGGACCACATGGGCAGGTTCCCGCTGAGGCTGTCCGCGCTGCACATGTCCAGGGGCGTGGGGAACAAACCTCATTCTGGTCAGGGCAGGGCAGACCCCTAGGGGTCCCTGGCAGCGTCTCCAGAACCCAGTTGCTCCATCCAATGGTGGACAAGAAATGGAGACCCAAATGATCTGTGGGGTGGGATTTGATACGTGGGAAGTGGCTGGAAGCATCTCGGTCAGCGGAGAGCATTTGTAGAGAATCGAGACGTCTGGGCGTCTGGTTTTTAGGTCTCAGGGTTCTGGTTCTTTCTGGTAATTCTGCCTAAAGTCTGTGCCTTCCGTCTCTTGGTAGATACACTCATCTTTGCATTTAGGGGGTTCAGGCTTTAGTACATTACTCAGGTGTTCACGTCACATCTAGTTGTTTGTGGTTAAGCTGCTAATTGGAATGAAGTAATTCAGCGCTCATTAACTTTTATTCACGTGAACTCTGAACAATGATGTTAGAGTTAAGGTATGGTGCGGTCAGGAGGAGTGATGGGAAATAACAGGAGATACAAGTAGACTTTCCTTTTTCTGCACAACCAACTCAAGTTCATTTGAATGCTTGCATGTTTTTTCTCCTGTGCCCTGTTGTTTTATAGATCCCCACTTAATTTCTTCCTAGCTCACTCCATCAGGGTGTGTGTGCGAGCGTGCACACACGCCCCCTCCTCTGCTCTGCTGACTCTCCTGTGTGTCCTTGTTTGTGTAGAACTGATGCTGAAACTGTTTACTCTCTGCTCCTACTTGGTCCTCTGCTTGGCTTGAAGAAACAGGTTTTCCAAAGGAGGCTGGTCTGGGTGTCCCAGTCAACTCCTGCGAAACAACAGACTGTCCGTGGAGGTCTCCTGGCTTGGAGACGGGCCGTGCTCTCATCTGCCCGGGGTGGGTGGGGCTGCTGAGTCTGGGCTGGGCGGGAGGGCTCAGGCCAAGAGGAAGCCGAGGCCACTGTTTCCTGCCTCCTGCACTGAGTCGTGGGCAGGTTCCCTGGCCCATTCCATGTGGAGCAGTTGTGTTTCTTCCCAGGGCAGAGTGGCCCATGTTCCCTGAGAGGAGAGTGTGGCATGGTGACTGCCTGGGTCCAGGCCTCTGTTACGGTCGAGCTTGTACCAGAGGACCCAGCGTCACAGCAGACGGTTGCATTGTCTTTTGTCTTTTGCTGCCCGAACTAAATCACCTTTCTCCTTACTTGTTGTTTTCCTCTTTCCTGTCTTCATATTCACTTTCCCCACAAGCAACCATCTAGTAAATAACAAGATGAAGGAAACAGCAAACATAGGAAGTTCTTTGTTTGTTCCTTGCATATGAGCCTTTCCTAGTGTTGTGCTGGTGTGTTATCTCATCAGGACACCCCTCTTCCGCTGTTGACAGTGCAGGCCGTGGGGGCCACGTGGGAAAGCAAGCTGGAGTGTGCGTCCTGCCTCTCCGGGTGCCCTCACCAGCCTGTCCCTTCTTCCTGCCTCTGACCTCCTCTAGAGCCTGCCCACTCAGCTCCTGAGAAGGGGTTTGGTGTCCTCCTGTGACTGGAGCGGGTCTCAGGAGAGGATATGGCTGTGTGAACTGCAGCGTCATCTTTGGATGTTGTGTGTTCTGTTGGTTTGTCTAGCTAGGTACCTGTCTGTCTGCATTTCAGAAGTGTTACGTGCTCGTTATAAAACCTTAGTGCGGATGGGGTGGAGTGCAAGTTTGCACCCGTACTCCCTCCTCTGCTTCTGCCTCTCGGACACACACACACACACAGTGTACGTGGGGGTGGTGACAGGTGAGCGCTTTGTGTTCTGTTCAGTGACGTACTTCTGTCTCTGCAGTGCACTATGGGCCTCCCTCCTTCTCGAGGCTGCGCTGTGTCTTGTAGCATGGCTAGCTCATGCCTTACTTTCAGGCTGCGTATTTTAAATTAGACTTGTAGGTCCTTATTTGTGAGATTACCACACACATTTGGGTCTTGCTTTAAATATTAGTTGGTGAAGATACAGGGTAGTTCAGCTTGGAGTGTTATTTCCTTCCAGCATCAAAGGACTATATCTTAGCGAATATGAAAATGATGGCTGTGAGGGACTTCCCTGGTGGTCCTGAGACCTCCGCACACCCTATGCAGGGGGCGCAGGTTCGACCTCTGGTCAGAGAACTAGATTCTGCATGGAGCAATTAAAAGATCCCATGCGCCACTGCTAAAGACCTGGCGCAGCCAAATAAATAAAAGTAAATGTTTCTTTTTAAAAAATCATAACAAATGACTGAATTTTAAATTGTTTCTTCTCTTCAGGGGCAGATAAAAGTAGCCAAGAGGCGGGTCGTGATGGCATCCCTCTACCTGGGGATAGGTCCTCTGGAACAGGAACTGGTAAGGTTTGGGGGAGTCCTAGAGGCAGCAGTGGGTCACGCCGAAACCTTGGGCCATGCGGCACTGTGGAGTTGGGGTAGACCCACCCTCTTTGGCTTCTGTTGCAGGCCAGCTCTTCTTGTGGCCCCAGATTCTGGGCTTGTGGGGAGGTGTGGTGCTGGGCCTTCTGGCCTCACTGACCCGTGTCCTCCTTGGCCTGATGCTCTGCCAGGCCGGGGCTCCGAGAACTGTGACCTGCAAGCCAGATCTGGCCACCACCTGTCTGGCCTGTGGGCTAAAGCTGGTTTTCACGTTTTCAGTGCAGGGCAGAGAGTCAGAGGAGGAGTAGTAATCGTGCCGCATGACAGGCGTGTGAAATTCAAACTTCTGTGTCCGTGCACGAAGCTTTATCGGAGCCCAGGCACTCTCGCCCGCAGTCAGACACGACCGAGCGCGCGTGCGCGCACTGCTCCGCCGTTCTCGTTTTTTCTTCCATTTACTTTTTATTAGTTGGAGGCTAATTACTTTACAGTATTGTAGGGGTTTTTGCCATACATGAATCAGCCATGGATTTACATGTGTTCCGCATCCTGATCCCCCTCCCACCTCCCTCCCTATTCCATCCCTTTCGTCTGTGTCTGTGTTCTTGCTGTGGTGGCAGAACTGAGTAACTGTGACAGAGACCATCTGGCCTGCAAAGCTCCAAATGTTTACTACCTGGTCCTTCACAGGGAGGCTTTCTGAGCCTGTGTTAGACGGAGGAGCCAGCATGCAGGCTGGGCTGGCCACTGCTTTCGCCAGGGTTTGTGGTGGGTGCCGGGTCCCCACTTAGACTTGCTGTCATGCCTCGCTTGTCCCCTCCAGTGAGACAGGCAGGGCTGGGAAGGGGCACGCATCACCTGTTGTGCAGGGGTGCTCCTGCAGGATGAGCCCAGCGCAGAGTCTGCAGGTTGAGCCAGAGTGAGTGTGAACGAGGTCATTGTGTTGTCTGAGTTCCCAGGTGGTTTTCGACTCTGAGGGAGAAGATGGGCCCCTTGCCCGTAGCAAGTGTTGTTTCTTGGTTTGTCCTTGTTCAGAAACCCCTAGGACGGGGTTGTGGTTATAGGGCGAGGGGAAGGGTGGGAGGCAGGAGAGCCCCGTCCCCTCCCTCCTGTCAGAGGAAGGGGCCACCCTGCTTTCAGGACATACTGTTGGCTGGCAGCCTGAGAAGCCTGTTTGTCCTCCCGGGGGAAGAATGCCACGTCCAGCCCGTGGAGAGTGGCCAGTGGGCAGGTTGTGTCTTGGATTCATTCGTTCAGCAAATATTTACCGAGTGTTCTCCATGTGTGGGGCACTGTTTGTTGTGTGCCTGTGAGGATGATCTGTTGGAACATGTGTGGGAACTCATGTCTTAGCAAGTGTTCTCAGGAGCAGCGAGGTTCACACCCTCGGGCACCATGCCCCTGACCTGCAGAGCGCTCTTCTTACTTGGCCTGGGCTGTAGACACTGTGTCTTCCAATTAACTGTGCCCAGGGCGGCGGCCTCGGGAAGAGGTTTCGCAGTGTTGGCTCCTGGGCAGGTGTGGATGGTGTGTGCATGAGCGTGTGTGCATGAGTGTTCACAGAGGACTGTGGGGGTTGGTTCATTTCTTAAACACATACCCGTTTTTTCAGACCTTTCCCTTCTCGCGGCTCTTTTCTTGGCAGGTGGATTGCCTAGAAAGCACTCTAGAAAAGTCACTCCAGGCGAAGCTTCCTTCTGACCTCAGGGTGTCCATCCTCTTAGACTTCACGAGGGGCTCGAGAGGTAGGTCTGACGCGCTCCCTGGCCGCCAGGTTCTTCCTTGTCCAGAGCCTCTGTTTTAGGAGTGAACCTTCACTCTAGGCTCAGCCAGGAGCAAGGTTATTTGAAGTCAGTCTAGGATGGGCAAGGATGGCCTGTCTGTCAGGATTCCTTTTATGGCTTAGTGATCTAAAGTCTAAGTGAAAATGACTTTGAGAAAAAGGGAATTTTTTTCCCTTAAGAAATATTGACACTTTTGTTTAAAAAAATACATGAAAAGTGATTTGTTTTGACTCCCACACATCTGATCTGGTCTGTGCGGGTCTTGACTGGGGTTTGGACCTTGGGCTGGCTTCACTTCCCTGGCTCCTTGTGGCACCCTCTGGCAGCTCCCGAGTCTGCATCTTGTCCATCAGAGGAGCACCTGCTTCCCTCTGGGTCAGACCGAAGCTCCTGCATCGCCTGCATCGGGCTCCGTTGGGGCTTCGGAGCCTGCTGACCAGCCCAGCCCAGCCTGGGTGCTTCCCCCTTAGAGCTGGGGTGAGGCCAGGGTGGACAGAGCCATCTTCACCCAGAGCAGAGTGCCAGAGTGCGGGGCCAGCGGCTGGAAGAGCAGATGTCTGTTACCCGGACTGCTCGTCCTGCCCCTGAGCTGGTGGGTGTCCAGGTGGAAGCTGCCCTGGGGACCCCTCTGGCTGGAAACACCCCACCCCTCGGCCTGACCCCAGGCCCTCGGGAGGTGGTCCTGCTCTGGCGGGCTGCGTGTTTCTTTGGGCGCAACTCTCCCGTCCCTTCTTTCCTGCTCGTCCACGTCTTCAGGAAGGAAGAACTCGCGCACGATGCTGCTCCCGCTCCTGCAGAGGTTTCCGGAACAGGTCCGTGTCTCGCTTTTCCACACGCCTAACCTGCGTGGGCTCCTGCGGTTCCTCATCCCTGAGCGCTTCAATGAGACCATTGGCCTGCAGCACATCAAGGTGTACCTCTTCGACAACAACGTCATCCTCAGCGGGTGAGTCGGTTTCCTCCCCTGGGCGGGAGCCAGCAGAGCGCAGGGGGAGAGTCCGTCCCCCAAGGCCCTGCCAGCGCGTGTTCAGTTTGGTTGCCTGGCTCTCGGAGCCTTCCCAGGGCCCCAACTGCCACAGAAGTCACGAAGGGCGGCTGCATGCTGGCCGTGGTTCCCTGAGGCCTCACTGCGTGCTCGCTCCTGTGGGACCCCTTCACATGCTGTCTCATCTAGTCCTCACTGTCACCCCACGAGGTCTTTCCCTCACTCTGTGTTGATACAGGAGAAACCCGAGGATGAGTAACTTGGGCAGGGCCGGGTGGGAAGCCATGCCCTTTGGGGGACCCTGCAGATGAGCCTGAGTGGTCCTTGGCTCTGTAAATGTCCACGTCTCCCCTTGATGGTCAGCTCGGTGAGGGGCGGGCCTTGCGGTCACTCTACAGTGTCACCTTGGTGTCGCTCTGGCCTGCCTCTCGTGAGGGGGCCAGGCTCTCTAGCTGTCTGTGGATTGGCTGCTGCTATGTCCTAACCCGGGTTGGGCGCTCCCCTGCTGCTGGTGACCCCGAGACGGGCTCCCCAGGACCTGCTGTCAGGCCCTCTCGCCTGGGTCCTCACCTGCCGCTTTCCTCCCTGCAGTGCAAACCTGAGTGACTCCTACTTCACCAACCGGCAGGACCGCTACGTGTTCTTGCAGGACTGTCCCGAGATCGCCGACTTCTTCACGGAGCTGGTGGACGCGGTAGGGGACGTGTCCCTGCAGCTGCAGGGGGATGACACGGTGCAGGTGGTCGAGGGGATGGTGCATCCTTATAAAGGCACGGCCTGGGCTCTTCAGCCTCTGAGCCGGGGGCGGTGCGGGCAAGGAGGGCGCGCCTCTAGAGGGAACCGTGCGTCCTTGCAAAGGTACGGCCTGGGCTCTTCAGCCTCCCAGGCCGGGGGCAGTGAGGGCACGCCTCTGGTGGCCTTGCCATGGGTTTAGGAGACTTGGGTGGCGGAGCTTTGTTTTGCTTCTGTCTTTGGAGCCAGACAGATGACGTGACTCACTGGCCATCCGTCATGCTCTGCGGGTGAGGGAGTCGCCAGGGAAGGTGGGACTGTGGGCATCGGGTCTGGGTACCCATGGGATGAGCCAGGAACCTGCCCTGCACTTACAGGAAGCAGCCTGCTAAATGGCCACCCGCTCAGGGTCACTGCTCCCAACTCCAGTGCTCAGGGGCTCTGTGGCTCTTGGCTCCAGTGAGGTCTGCGGCCTCCTGCCTGGAACGTGAAATGGGAGAGCCCTCGGCTCCGCTCGCTGGAAACAGGCAAACCCTGGCAGCTGGTGTTCCCGGGGTATTTGCATTCCTCTGATTCCTGTGGCTGTGGCTTCCTGGTGGCCTTTAAGGAGGTCTGCTGCTGAATTTGCAGCCCTGTCAGCAACGTGGGGGACGGGTTAAACCCAGCCCTTGTGAGGGGAAGAGCTAGAGAGGAAGCATCTGAGAGGGGATGGCAGTGTTTGAGAGTCGTGTGTGCGTGTGTTTATGTGCATGTGCAGTCATGTCAGACTCTCTGCGACCCCATGGACTGTAGCCTGCCAGCCTCCTCTGTCTGTGGGATTCTCCAGGCAAGAACACTGGATCAGTTTGCCATTTCCTACTCCATGGGATTGTCCCGACTCAGAGATCGAACCCACTTCTCCTGTGTCGTCTGCGTTGGCAGGCAGCTTCTTTACTACAGAGCCAACCGGGAAGCCCACCTACAGTATTATAATAGTTACTTTTATGTTTTAAATTTCACCAGTAAAAATTTATGGAAGTCTGTTTTCTCTCTGATCATTCGAGTACCTACATATTGTTCTCAATTTTACCCTTTGGCTTATAAGCCTAAAGTATTTACTGTCTGGCCCGTACAGGAAATGTTGGCTGACCCCTGTTCTCACTTAACAGGCCTGGCACGCATAGGCAGAGAAAAGGGCCCCCATTCAGAGAAGAGTGAGAGTCAGCATGCTCAAGGGGTGTGGGGGGCTGGGCACGGCCATGCTGGGAACCAGGGCAGCCTGAGAGGGGCCCCCCTGCGCCCCCGTGATGTGAGAGTGAGTGACGCTCGTGCTGGCCGCCGTCAGCAAGGGGGGTCCCCTTAGGGAGCTGTCCTCCATGTGGCCACCCAGGCCTGACGGCGCTCAGGCCTGTGGGCCTGTCCCCAGCGCGGCGCTTGTGCGCGGTTCCCAGCATGGCCGTGCTGCCTTCCTCCCTGTTCTTGATCAGCTCTGCCCAAGGCTTGCCACTGTGTCTCTTCAGAGAATTAACTCTGACAGTGTTGAAGTTCCCTACTTTTATGTTTCATGTCGTTGTTTTCATTCTGTTAATTTCTGCTTTTTATAATTTCCTTCCTTGTACTGTATTTTTTGTCTTTTCCTGTTGTTGTTTCCTCCATAACTTCTTGAGTTGGATGCTTAGCTCATTAATTCTCTTATCATCTAGAGATAGCATTGAGACTCGCTTCTTTTCCTTTCATTGTGTCCGTGCAGCCGCTCGTCTCTAGTGGCCGTGTGCAAACACAGCCCAGAGCCTGTCTGTCCGCCTCTGACCCTGCCTGGCGCTCTCCTGCTGTCTGATCATACTTACCGTGTTTCTGTCAGACGCATACGTGCTCTTTCTGGCATGTACCATGCACCGCAAACACGGGTGTGCAGCTTATGTATGGCTCCTAGTGGGTTGGCGCCCAGAAGCCCCTGGGCCCCAGCCAGGCCTGGCCCCTCCCCAAGATGCCCTCTGTCCTGACTGCCTTCACTCTCAGTTAGTTTTGCCTGCTTTTTTCCTTTTTTTTTTTTTTACTTTACAATATTGTAGTGGTTTTTGCCATACATTAACATGAATCAGCCATGGATTTACATGTGCTCCCCATCCCGATCCCCCCTCCCACCTCCCTCCCCATCCCATCCCTCTGGGTCTTCCCAGTGCACCAGCCCTGAGCACTTGTCTCATGCATCCAACCTGGGCTGGTGGTCTGTTTCACCCTTGATAGTACACTTGTTTCAATGCTGTTCTCTCAGAACATCCCACCCCTGCCTTCTCCCACAGTCTTGCCTGTTTTTGAACTTCCATTAGGTGGTGTTGGTAAAGGCCTTTTCCTGGCCCCTGAGTGCAGGCTTCTTGTGGCAGGGTGCTTTCTCGGGCCTTTCTGTCCCAGGAGGAGCCTCACGTGGGCAGTGCCGTGTGTGTTTGGTGAAGGGCGAGCTGCAGCGCCCGTCACGTGCTGGTGCCATGCCCACCATGCACTGCCCCTGATCCCCTCTGCCGTGTCTCCCTCTAGGTGACCGGGCTGCGTACTGCAAGGCGGCCAATAAGAGGGTCATGGACGTGATCAACTCCGCCAGGACGCGCCAGCAGATGCTGCACGCCCAGACCTTCCACAGCGACTCCCTGCTGACCCAGGAGGACGCCGCCGCCGCTGGAGACCGGAGGCCGGCCCCCGACACCTGGATCTACCCCCTGATCCAGATGAAGCCCTTTGAGATTCAGATCGATGAGATTGTCACCGAGACCCTGCTGACAGAGGCTGAGCGAGGTGCTAAGGTCTACCTCACCACTGGCTACTTCAACCTGACCCAGGCCTACATGGACCTGGTCTTGGGCACGCGGGCCGAGTACCAGATCCTGCTGGCCTCGCCGGAGGTGAATGGCTTCTTCGGGGCCAAGGGGGTGGCGGGTGCCATCCCGGCCGCCTACGTGCACATCGAGCGGCAGTTCTACAGTGAGGTGTGCAGCCTGGGGCAGCAGGAGCGGGTGCGGCTGCAGGAGTACTGGCGCAGGGGCTGGACGTTCCATGCCAAAGGTACGCGGTGGCGGCCGGCCTGAGGGTGGCCCGCGCGGGCAGCCAGGGGGCGGGGCGCAGCCCACACTCCAGCCTGCCCGCGGTGCCGGGCGTCTGGTAGAGCCCTGCTCCACCCCCCTCCTGTCTTCACGACGGCCCTGTGGGGGCTTCGTAATCCTCACGTCTGTGTCCGTTTCAGCTCTGCAAAATCTCTCCCTTGTGTCCACCCAAAACTCAGATACTCAGACCATTGGGGTGGCTATTTTAAAGAGTGTACCTGTACTCTCTCCTCTCATAGAAGACAAGACACGTGACTTCCCTCGAGCAGCCGAGTTCTCCCGTGTTGGCCCTCCCCTTCTCGAGGACAGAGAGCATTCCCCAGGGATCATTGACTGGGCATCAGTTTTTCAGTCTTTTCCTCACCATTGCTGGTCGTTTCCTCTGAGTCAAACCTTCGCTCTTTTTTTTGTATTGGAGGAAACTGAGGCCCTCTACTTGAAATGCTCACGTGTGCAGGACTGCCCCAGGGTGGGTTGGTGTGTGAACTGTGTGTTGTAATGATGCTTCTTGGGCAGTTGTGTGCAGCCGTGGAGCACAGTCCCAGGGCATGTCCAAGGCGTGAATCACGGCTTAGAACCCAGTGCTTAGCAGAGGTACCGCTGGCTGCCACACCATGTTGAGTGCACCCGCCTCTTGGGTGTGACCTTGCCTTTCTGTGCTCCGGGAGGCCCACAGCCCACTCGGTCAGTCCTATGTCTGAAGGAAATGCCTGGCTTTCCTGACTTCTCGCTGGTGGCCCAGAGACCTGATTTGCTCTTGCACTGGTCCTGGGGGCTTCCAGAGTGGCTGATTGCCGTGGGAGGGGTGGTGTGTTGCGGCCACTTGTCTGTGTTGTTTAGACTTGAGGTCACTTTGAATCCCAGCTTGGACTTAAGCCAGTGGTTTTCATTGGGGGTGCACTGATGCCCAGGCCACCCTTGGCCTCCTGGGTCCAGCCTTCTGGGGTTCGACCCCAACATGGTAACTTTGAAAAGCTCCCTAGGAGATTGTGATGCCTTGAGAACGACTGCTCCCGCTCAGAGCTTCGGGCCCGTTGGGTGGTTCCAACTTCCTCCTGCGAGGCCCACGTGCCTGCTTGGGCAGGTGGCATTGCCGTGGGAAGTACGCTCTCCTGTTGTTCTGTGTGGCTGACCCTGGATGTGTCATGAGTAGGTGTGTCCAGGCAGGTAGGCTGGCCTGTGGGGGTGTGGGAGGTATTTTAGGATTGGCTCTGTTACCTCTGAGAATAGCAGCAGTGCCTGGGGTGGGGTCCTGGATACAGAGAGCTGGGGTGGGAGGAGCTCTGAGCTCGAGGGGAGCTGGTGAGCTGCAGGGAGGTGCATCGAGAGCGCTGGCGCCCGTCTGCCCTGTGGCTGGGTGGTGGTGGGGGTTCCCTGGTCCCGGTGGGGCCCCCAGCGCAGCTTGGCCTGGCAGTTGTGAGCGCGCTGAGAAACGTGCAGTGACTCCTGAGTTACCGTTGAAACAGAAACACCCAACCGGCTTTTCCGGTGTGTCTCACCTTTTCCCGGACTGGCCTGCTCCTACCACTCCCTCCCACCTGCCTGCTGCGGGTGGGGTCCTGCAATCTGGGAGCTGGCTTTGTGGGGAAGGCCAGGAATCCCAGGGTGTGTGCGATGGGATGGGGGGGGGCAGGCAGATTGAGTCTCTTGCGCAGAAGGCACCTTGTCCTCAGGGCAGGAGCCGAGTTCAGGTCACTCCATGCTTTCGGGGAGAGTCCAGGTCCTTCCCTGCCTAGGCGCTGTGGTCGGTAGTGGGAGTCGTAAGTCAGCCCCCCTTTCTGGCCCATTTTTGGACAGTCACGTCCCCTGCAGCAGGCTAGGACAATGAGGCAGTGCAGATGGCCGCATGGATTTGGACTGAGGGGTGGTGGACTTGCTCCGGCCTGCCCTCTGCAGGGCCCGTGCTGGGTGCGAGAGCTGTATCGGGTTTGGGCCCTAGAAAATTCCTGCTGAGGGCTGATGCTGTGGGACAGGTCCTGTGGGACAGGCCTGGGTTCATCTTGCCACTTCCTGCTCCCAGAAGCCCTTGGGTGAGAAGCAGCTGGGAGGCTGTGTTCCTGCGTCGAGCTCCTCGCCTCCCAGCTGTAGTCTGTCAGCATTGCATGCCCCTGGGAGCCAGGCAGCCCGAGGCGCTGGGCCTGACGGTTGAACCTGCCGGTGGCCCCCTTCTTAGGATGCAGGGAAGCCCTGCCCTGTTGCGGCCTCTGGAGGGGGACGGGCCAGATGGCGAGAAGCCACCTTGTGGCAAGCGGCCATGCAGGCTGCAGGTGCCCACAGACAGCCGTGTGGCCTGGTGGCGGCAGGGCACACAGGCAGGGTGTGTCCTCGGTGTCCTCTGCTCATGAGTGTTGGGGGGGTGTCGGGCGGGGCTGAGCGCCCGGCCGGAGCATTGCTGCCCAGAGGCCTGAGCGGAGACCGCTGCACTGGCTGTTTGCTGATTTCTTAGCAGGCGTAAGTGTATGTCACCTTTTAACAAGCTGAGTTGCTTGAAAGAACTGGAGGGACTTTCTTCTTTTTGAAGGCATGTGCTAGAGACCTGACAACGTGGGTTTATCTGGTTGGTTTTTATTTGGAGCCCTGCACAGGGCGTCTGTTCGGTATGTCAGGGAGAGCCTGGGTAAACAAGATGTGGTGCAGAGGTTCCCAGGCTGGGGGTCTCTCTCGGAGCGTGGTTCTCAGCCCACATTTACCTTTGGCAGACGTGGAGGACCTGGTTCCACTTGCATGTCCACAGGGGCGATGGCTCTGGATCTTACTCAGGAGGAACAGTGACACGCGTGCACTTGAGGGTCTGCGGGGGAGGATTGGGGTCCCTGAGGTTGTGGCCGAGACGCCGTGTGCATGGGGGTGGAGGACACCTTGGCAAGAAGAGGTGTCCTTGTCACCTGTGGCTCTGTTTCTGTTCTCTCTGGGGGTCAGTGAGGGTGACACTGAGGCTGGAGGTCTCACTGGCGTCGTCTTGAGCCAGGAGCTTTGGGGTGCGGGCAGGGTGGGGGTCCGCTTTCCACACCCATCAGCCGGCAGCTCTTCTTTAGAAATGTGTGTTTGTTTACCTGTCCTGGGCCTCAGGGTGTTTCCTGTGGGCTCTTTCGTTGTGGCAGGCACCATCTAGTTCCCTGATCAGGGATCGAACCCAGGCCCCCTGCATTGGGAGTGCAGAGTCTCAGTCACTGGACCACCAGGAAGGTTGCTGTCAGCGGTTGTAAGTGCTGTGTTTCCCTTGTGCCAAAGAACTCATCTCCTTAGGTCTTGGAGAGGCAGCAACTTCAGGGGAGTCCAAGTGACTGTGAAGAGTGTCAGGCCTCATGTCTTGGCTTTCTGCCCCATGGAGACGAGAGGGCCTGAGAGGTGCTGTGTGCAGCATCATGGGGTTTTGTGCTGGGAGCCAGGGCCACGTCTGTGCTGGGGGGGTGTGGGCTCTGCCTGCTGTTGAGATGTGATTTCATCTGGAGGCAGTATGAACAACAGCACAACGTGTGTGGCGAGGGCGGGGCAGGGCCCCTGGATTAAGAGATTTCTGGCTCCTGCTGACAGAGGCTCTGTTAATGAGTATGAGAACTGTCACTATTTTTACTGCCTTCCCGATAGGCCGCCTGGCACGGCGCCCGGGGGTGAACCTGCAGCGAGAATGGGGCAGCTCCACCCTGTGTGCCGGGCACACGTGGGGTGGCTCTCACCGGGGATGGCAGGCGTGCCTGGGGCCATGCCGCCCGCCTGAGGCCAAGGCGGCATCGGCCTCCTGCATCCTGGGGTGCGTTGGTGCTCTTCTGGCCTCAGAACAGGTGATGCTTGTCCATCTGAGGGTAGCTCTGCGACGTTTGTGTCCCCTCGTTTTCACAGGGATCTGAGAACCTTCTGAAATTCATCACGGAATGTTGTCGGGGTCGGGGGAAATTCATTGCACAATAATAAAAGTGGCAGGTACGGGATTTTGAGGTTTTCTGGAGAGCTCCTCAAAGAAGACTTCTAACCTGAAATGTTCCTGTGCTTCTGCTCTAGAACCTCGAAGCCTTTTGCCTTTTTATACTTAACTAACTGTTGTAAGAGGCCTTATTACTCTCATTTTATTTACTTTGTTCACATGTGTTTACGGAGGCCCTGCTGTGTGCCAGGCAGCATTCAGGGCACGGGGGCAAGGCACCTCTGTCCGCAGAAGGTGTCCAGTTCGTTGGGAAGCAGATGAGAAGCAGATGAACGTATCCAAATCCGACATCAGGTCATGGGAAGGACTGAAGAAGACGAGGGCAGGAGGGGACTCCAGACTTAAATGGGTCTGTTAGATGGGGGTTGGGGAGAGCCTCTCTGAGGAGGTGGCACTGAGTGGAGACCCCGGGCAGGAGAGGTCTGGGCGGAGGGAACGGAACCGTGGAGCCCCAAGGCCGCGGCTGGGGTGTTGGGAATGGAGGCTGGGCACCAAGGTGGGAAGGGGCTCGGAGCCCAGGGTGCGAGCAAGGGCTGCGGGGGCCTGGGGCCACCTGGATTCCCCTGGAGGACGATGCTGGGCCTGCGAAGGGACCGCCAGTGCGCGCAGAGCGGAGGCGGGTGACCCCCTCCTTCACGACGAGGCCAGGGCATGGGGCAGCAGGTTGAGTTTCAGAGGTGGGCCTCCGAGTCGTCCCCTTGTACCCGTGGCACGCTCCCTTCGTGGTGAGACCTGCTGTCCCGGGAGGCAGTGCTGAAGTTCAGCTCCCCCCTCCCCCAGCACTTTCTCCCCTCCCGCGCCGTCATTCCTCTTGCAGAATCTCTCCCTGATCAGAGGTTCCGGGAATGCGGGATGGAGGGGTTGGGCCCGAAGGTCAGCCCCAGGATGAGGACCCGGGGCTTGATAACAAGTTTATGACTGGGCTGGGAGCGCTGTGTTTCCTGACAGCGAGTCCTGCCCGGCAGGCTCACCCTCTGTCCTCACCCCGACATCCTGAGTGGCAGCACAGGTCTGACCGGAGCTTCGGACGGTCAGGAGCTCAAGAGGGCCTCTCGATTTCCCCTCCCCGCCTGAGCGTTTCCCAGCTGTCCTTAGGGCACAGACCCATAGCTCACGAGCCCCTGACTTGGTGAGCTTCAGTCCAGAAGGACTCTCGCTCGTGGCGGTGCCCGTGCCCTGGGCTGCCGGGGGCAGTGTGTGGTGTCCCCCCGACTTCACTTGCTGCACTGGTCCCGCTCGTCGCCGCGCACCAGCGGTGGCTGTCTCACCATTTATGTCTGCCTGTTTGCTTTTTGATGGAGAAAGATCGTGCAGATGAGACTGCAGGGGAAGTTGGTGGGGTGATCGCAGGCCTTCCCAGAGCAGGTAATAGGTTAAAGGTGCACTATCTCTTAAATCCAAGCACTCACCTGGAGTCCACCTGGGCCAGAGAGAGAAGCTGGAGGAGGCAGAGGCGGCAGGGAGGAGAGGAAGGATGGAAACAAGTGTGTGTCACACATCACCAACCAGGGGAACAGCGGCGGGGGACAGCGCCCCATGGGCTGGAGACCGACTCTTAGGGGAGTGCTGAAAAACACGATTTTCATCTTAAGCGGGGCCGAAAAGCTCCTTCAGGGGTCCGTGATGAAAACTCGTTGAGAAGCAGTGCTCTGTACCGGGGCGCTGTGGGCCAGGCCGAGTTGGGCTGTCTGCCTCTGGGGGCCAACCTGTACACTGCCGTGCGAGGGAGCGGTCCCTGCTTAGGCAGATGTTACAACTTAGGGACATGCAAGACCAGGCCCCTGCCACCTTCCCTGCAGACCTGTGGTCCCGGAGCTTTGGAAGGACACAGGGTCCTGGTGGCAAGTGACCCTCATCAACCTTGTCGCGTGTCACCCGTGCAGCGGGGCCTCCCTTGTCCTGGCTCTCGCTGTCCCCTCTCTGAGCAGCTGGACAGGTAGCGCTGAGCAGACACAGTGTCTTTACGGGGCTGATCTTGGCATCAGAAGGGTTGGAGCAGGGGCTCCCCTGGCGGTCTAGTGGTTAAGACGCTGAGCTTCCACTGCAGGTGGCATGAGTTCAATCCCTGGTTAGGGAACTATAGTCTCGTAAGCTGTGTGGCGCAGCCAAAAATTAGAAAATAGAATAGTGGAAATAGTAATGGCTGGTGGAGATGTTGCCTGTCCCACCCTGCTCCAGCCTTAAGGAGAGCTAGGGCAGGTAGACTGAGCCTCATCCAGGTGGAGAGCTTTGCCTGCAGAGGATGAGGCCTCTGGAGCGGGGCGCTGGGGCCGGCCTGCCCTCCCCCGTGGTCTGGACGTGCGGTCAAGTGAGCCGCGTGGTTGCTCACATGCAGCGGCCCAGCGGGGCGGGGTGCAGTCGGTTGAGCGAGACCAGCAGGCAGGCTAGTGGCTTTGATGTGGCCCCTGCGTGTGTGTGTGTTGGGGGTGGCAGGCGTATTACAGGAACAGGCAGCTGAGCATTGTCATCTCTTACCCAAGATGTTCTTGGAAATGCTCTTGTTCTGAGTGAGAGTTAGGAAACGGCCTTCTATTTTAGGAGCTTGGTGTGTATCATGCGTTGATTCGCTCATGGTACTCATGTGTGCCTCTGGGCCCTTCGGAAGGGTCCTGTTGGCAGAGGAGAGACCCACGGTGGTGGGAGGACGTGAGGAGGCTGGCCTTGCGCCGGGCAGCCTGCAGCGGAGCCCACGACTCAGGCAGCCCCCCGGGTGTCCCAGGCTGGGCATTCTTGGTACAGCGTGGAGGAAAAGATAGAGGGCAGGCCTGGTGCCCTGTAGGAGGACGGAAGTCTGGGGCCGCAGGTGTCCTGGAGAGGTTTGGGGAACAGAAGTAGTTCTGATGGGGCTGGGATTGGGGAGGGGACAGAATGGGGTGCAGAGCAGGGGACCTGCGTGTTGTCCGTCTCAGGTGATGTTTAGGATTCTGCAAGAATCCATGGCTTTCATTACAGAGCTGTGGCTGAGGTGTCGTCAGGCGATGGCGTGTTTGCAGGGTGGGGCCGAGGAAGGAGCTGCCCCTTGTGGCTGCTCACGCTCTCTGCTTTCCTCTGTCTCTGGTGTCAACTGGCTCATTTTCTAGCAAAAAAAAAAAAAAAGGTGGGGGGGGAGCTACATTCTCTGGGGCAGGACTGAGACACAGGGCCTCCAGGTTCTCTGCTTCACTGGCCTCCAGCGGATGTCACCCTTCTGGCCTGGAGCCCCTGAGCCCCCAGCAGGCGGAGTTCCGGTGCTCTGGTGGGCTTCTCCGCGGTTGGCAGCGGGCGGGGGGAGGGTCCCGGGGCCAGCTCACCAGCATGTGGGTGCAGCTTGCCCACCCGAGCTCTGCCATCTGCCCCCCTGCCTTCTTAGAGGCCTGCCATGGACCCTCACCACTCAGTCAGAGCCAGGCTCCACCCTCAAGATCTGGGACAAAACCCCAGAGGAGCCCAGACGGCCCGAGCTGTGACTTGAGGGCGCCAGGAGCTCCTCTGGGGGAAGTGCGCGGGGCTCGCCCCCTCTCTGCTCTGGCAGGGGGTGGGGGACGACTGCCTCTGGGCTGCCTGGCCAGGTGACCTGTTCTTAAACCCAGTCAGGTGTCACCACATCTGTAGGTTCAGGTGAAAGGGTCGCTGCTCCCCAGCCCAGGGCTCAGTCGGCCTGTTCTCAATGAGCAGCAGGTGTGATCTCCAGGCCTGTGGAAGGACGGGGAGGTGGGACGGTGACCCGGACGTGGCTGAGGCAGCGTGGAGAGCGGGAAATAAAGGCCCCATTGCTGTCTGGGAGGGGTGACGGGGGTGTCCGGGGGCAGGGCGGGGTGAGAACAGAACCTGAGCACGGGCATCACCGGAGAAGCCCGCTTCTCACCCTGCGGGCCACGCCGTGCACCAGGCGGGTGCCTTGCAGACCCTGCTGGGCCTGTGCCTCCCGCGGCAGCCTTGTTCCCGGACCCTGCGGGTCTGCTTCTCCCCCAGGTCAGCGTGCGGGGCCAACAGCGGGCCCTGGGGGAGCCAGTCCCCATGTCCTGGGACCCCGCAGGCCTGCTTCTCCCCCAGGTCAGCATGCAGGGCTGAGAGTGGGCCTCCGTGGAGTCTGTCCTCCACGGGAGCCTGTCCCCTTGCACCCGGGACACCACGGGCCTGCTTTCCCCCAGGTCCGTGTGGCGTGGAGAGGCTGTGGCGGCGGCCGTGCTCACTTCTGTCTGCACATTTCCTTCTCCCTGCAGGCCTCTGGCTGTACCTGGCAGGGAGCAGCCTGCCCTGTCTCACGTTGATTGGCTCTCCTAATTTCGGGTACCGGTCGGTTCACCGGGACCTGGAGGCCCAGATTGCCCTCGTAACGGAGAGCCGGGCCCTGCAGCAGCAGTTCCACCAGGTTGGTTGGGGTTGTGGGGCGGTGGGGGTGTAGTTGGGCGCCTGGTTCCTGGGGCTGCCTCCTGCCACTGTCTCCTGCTGGGGCCCGAGGGTGGGAAAGAACTGGGGTCCTCTCACATGTGCCAGTGGCCGGTCCCGAGGGAGGCCTTCTGCACCCCTCTGCCTGCAGCCTGGGGCCTGCCCTGGCCTGGTGGGCACTCTCCCCTGCGTCTCGGGGCGCATTGTCTTTCCCTGCATGGGCAGAGAATGCTTTGTTCTCACGGAGATGTGAATACGGCACTGGTCCCAACCTCTTCTGAGACGGCGGATCAGCTCCTGGGGTAGGAGCCAGGGTCACACAGGACCCGCGCCCAGGTCTGTTAGGGAGCAGCTTTGGGCGGCCTGGGTCACTTCTGATGAAGGCCCTCCCCCAGAGGTGCTTCAGAGTCAGGGGAGGGAGAGGCAGGAGGTGGGGTTGTCCCCCAGGCAGAAGGGGCACATGGGAGGCAGGGTCTCTGCAAGTGGAGCTGTGCCGTGGCCAGGGCTCGGACTGTCCGGGGCCCAGACGGCTGTGCCCTCGAGTCAGCACGATGATCCTTTTGCGCTGACTTCGATTTTCTTTATTTTCCTTCAGGTTGTTTCACTGGGTAGTGATCTGGTTTGGGATTGACTCTGCAGGAGGTGGTGGAGGGACTGCTTGGAGGTGTGCCTGGCCAGGAGCTGGGTCCCGAGTGGTGCTTTGTAGGGGCTGGTGGTGGGCGGGGCCCCGCGGAGGCTGGTGTGCTGCCTGCCCCCGCCTCTGTCAGGGGATGGCGGTGGGGCAGGGCGGGCCTGTTTCCAAGGTGTCTTGGAATTTCTGCGTGGTTTTTGTCACACTTGCAGTAGGATTTCTCTCCTTGCAGTTGTGAGAGGGGGTGTCAGGCATTTTTGAGAGCGAGGGGGCAGGGGCGGGGTGGTCCTGAGAGAGAACCTAATGCGCTTGGTCTGGCTCGGCGGGCATGTTGTGTAGTCCAGCGAGGACCTCCCGCTCCCCTGGGAAGAGACTCCCCCGCATGGCTCACAGGACCGCAGGCCTTTCTCCCGAGCTGGGGCTGGAGAGTCAGCCACGGGGCACGGGACCCCCAGCCCCTCCTGCTGGCCCTAGGGGCCCTGAGTCAGGTGCGGGGTGGGCGGGGAGAGCGCCGGGCTCCTGGGGACAGGAAGGCAGCTCTGGTCCCCAGAGGGGCAGCGGTCTCGGCCTCCTTCTGCGATGGTGGTGTTCCCATTTAAAGTCAAGGATAAGTGCAGATGATTTCTTTCTGCGTCTGTGTGCGTCTTTGTGTTTGATCACCTGCAGCAGTGTTGGGGGACTTCTGGGAATGCAGGCACAGCACCTGTGCGTGTGAAGCCTGGGTGATCCTTTGGCTTCATGAATGTATGGCCTTTATGGCAAAGCCTCTCCAGGGGAGCTGCCAACTTCCCTCCTGAGTCATGGAAGCCTGGATAACACGCCCGGAGGCCAGCCCTCAGAAGTGCAGCGGCTGTGTTAAGCCTTTATCCTTGTGTTTGGGAATTACTCTTGCGAAATCCTTGGAGCCTTTGTTGATGGACGAGGAAATGGTAACTGCCTGGTTCCCTGGGATCTGCCTCCTGTGATCTGGGAATCTTGTCAGTGCCTGAGCGGGCCCTGGTGCCGGGAAGGGCCTCACCGGGGCCGAGGGGAAGTGGCAGCGGTCGGGCTCCGGGCGGCCAGTGGGAGACTCTAATCTGCTCAGCAGATCACAGATGCTATGGTCAGGCTTCCAGCAAACGCCCGCCGAGGTTCCAGCAGGGGCTGGCTGGCCTGAGGGCCCTGGGGCGAGAGGAGCGGGGCCTCTCCTGGACCTCCGCCCTGGCTTCTGAGAGCCAGGTTTCCCAGATGGTAGAGGGGTCAGGGTGTGCCTGGCCCCAGGACCAGGGCTTTGTAAGCCTGGGCTGATTTGGGGGAGCAAGTCTGTGCCCAGAGTCCTGGTGCTAGCCGCTCTCCCCCCACTCCCCGAGTAGGGGAACTGAACCCACATCCTGAATCTTGAGAAAAGTTGGGCCGCTTGTGGTCAGGAGCTGCTTCCCCAAATGACATATTTGGGATATTTTCTTTTTCTTCCCAAACCTGGGTCCCAGGGGCTTTAGTTGGTGGGAGGGTGGCAGTCTGTGCCAGTGCAGCCCTTCCATTCTTTAGAGGCACGCGGACTTCTGTGTCTTTAACATGCAGAAAGATATTTCTGGATAACTCCACCTATGTGCTTACACACCGGGAAGACAGCCACCCTCTGGAGAGGCCCATGTGAGGCCTGATCCTGGGACTGCCCAGCCGCACAGCCTCCCCAGAGCCCAGAAAGTCCCTAAAACCCCACTGCCCGGGGCCCTGCCGTCAGAAGCCGCCTCTGGAGTCCTCCTGGGATCCCAGGGAAGGGCCCTGTCCTGTCTCCCTGGGCACCGGCTTGGGGAGATATTTTTATCCAAATCCAAAGTCCCTCCCTTCAGTTAGTACGTACAGTAAAAACTGAAAGCTTCCTGGTTTTGTTCAGGGAGCACGGTTCACCACTTGTGACCTAGGGAAGCCTCCCTTGAACAGCATTGTGACCCCAAGCAGCTGACTTCCTTCTCCATCCCCATGCGGAGTCTGTGAGGAAACTTAAAGTGTTTCTGGTAATTTAATTGAGATCTTGGCTGCGTATTCATTGGAAAAACATAAAGCTGGAGCCGGGTCTGTGGAGACCGCCGCAAAGCAGTCCCTGGAGACCAAGGCCGGCTCCTCCGTCAGGCCCGTCCAGCCGCGGTCAGTGGGCGGCACAGTCGGCTCAGACGCGAAGTGCCCAGGGCCTGGCTCACAAGGGAGTGAGCACGCACGCTGTGCAGGAAGCCGTGAAGTCGGGCGCTAGATTTCCCCAGCCTTTGACGGGAAGAGGTGCGGACAGTCTGTCGTGTTCTGATGGCGCCGTGTCCTCTGTGTCCCCCTCTCCCGTCCTCACTGGGTCACGGGTTGGCCAGGGACACAGCTTCCATTCCCGCCTCCCAGAGGAGAGTGTCTGGCTCCCAGCGGGTCGGAGGGCAGCACCCTGGCACCCCCCTGGGGCTCCTGGTGCCAACGTGGATGGAGCGTTGGCACAGCCAGTGCTAAGGAAGTCTCACCGGGGCATGGTAGTCAGGGTTTCGAAGATGGAGGGACACGAGACTCAGAAAGGAAAGTCACAGCTGCTGACTGCTGCCTCTGCCTCGGGAAAGCCTCGAGGGTGTCGTGTTTTAAAAGAGAGGCATTTTCTCCTCTCAAAGATTTTTCATTCACTCATTCATTGTTGGCTGCGCTAGGTCTTCGTGCTGGGTGCGGGCTTTCTGTGGTGTGCAAGCTGGAGCTGCTGTCCGCTGCTGTGGCTTCTCTCGTTGTGGAGCACAGGTTCCAGGGCGTGGGCCTCGCTGCCCCGCGGCATGTGGGATCCTCCCAGACCAGGGGTCGAACCCATGGCCCCTGCACTGGCGCGTGGATTCTTAGCTGCTGGGCCACTAGGGCAGCCCTCTTCTCAAACACCATGTAAGACAAGGCTTATGTCAGCGTTTTTAAACTCATTTTTATATGAAAGTGATATTCTTTTACTTTAAAAATGGAGGAAAATTAGAAGACGCTGACCCTTTCGCCCAGAGATAGTCACTGAAATTGTTGCGATCGTTCCTAGCCGGTCTTGGTCTGTGGGCTCATGGAGAGTGTCACTTGTCTTGTTTCTTTTTAATGAAGTTAGGACTGTGTTTGTTGTGTACATTAATTCCCATGCAGTGTCTTGCACTCAATCTGGTGTGCCTTCCCATATCATTAAGTCGGTGTTTCTCCAGGGCAGGGTTAGCTTATGGTGAACGCTGGTGTGTCATCTGGGTTTATTATGTTTGATTAGCTGGTTGTTGGACATTTAGGTGATTTCCAGGTTTTCTCTATCATAAATGTTGGCATGATAAATGTGCGTATACAGAAATCTTAGTGCATAGTTATTTTCTTGGGATAAACTCTTGCAGGCGGAGCTTTTTAGGGCATTCAGTAACCTGTTGCCAAGTTGCTCTCCAGACAGGGATCCAGTCCCCCCGCTTTCCATCAGCCGTGTCTGGGAATGCCTGTTCCCTCTGCCTTCTTCAGCAGGGGCTCATGACGTTACAACTTTCTGCCAGCTTGAGAGAAGAAAAACTGTCTTGTTTAAAAAAGGACCTTCATTATTTTAATTGTACTGCCTCATTTAACGAGGGTGCGCTTTTCAATATTTCCTCCACCAGCTGTATTCCTTCAGCTCTAAATTGCCTGTCCCCCACGCATCTCGGTCTTCAAACTATAGACACCCTGGCTTCCTAGCTGTCCCCAGGGATGTTTCACAGGGACGACCTGCACCGGGGCCCCCGAGGAGCCGCAGGGCCGGCAGGCCGAGTGGCTGGTCCTGGAGCTGTCCCGTAACTCCTGGTTGTCCCTCTTCCCCAGGAGCAGGAGCAGCTCTACCGCAGGGCAGGTGTGGTGTCCTCTGCCACCTTTGAGCAGCCAAGCCGGCAGGTGAAGCTGTGGGTGAAGATGGTGACTCCGCTGATCAAGAACTTCTTCTGAGGATGGCAGGTACTGACCCACGGTCACTAGGGGGCCTCGGGCGGTCCTCTCCAGCTGGGGTCCCGGGGCCTCTTGCAGGGGCTCAGGAGCTCTCTGCTCCTTCCTTGATTACCTGCCCAGGGGTGTGTCATGGGTGGTTATCGAAGGCTTGGAAGCCTGGTGCTAACAAGGCGGCCCTTTCGCCCTCCATCGGGTCCCAGGGCCGTGGTGGGGTCAGCATGGTGGGGTGTGCCTGTTCTTGCTTTCCATGGGGGCTGGAGGCAGCCTTGGGGCCAGGGCCTCATGGCTGCTGGACACCGGGGTAGATTCTGTGCCCGCTGCCTGTCGCTGAGCACGGGGTTCTTAAGGCAGCGGGGGCGGAGGGGCAGCGCTCGTGGGGACATCCGGGCTTGCTGCCTAGGCCGTGCAGGATAGATGGAGCCTCAGTCAGGCCTCGGGGCTGTGACCCCTCTCCCTGATGCTCCTGGGGTGCGCTGGCAGACTCTTGGTGTTCTCGGTGACTGGCGGCAGGACTCACCAGTCCACCCAGGAGCCTGCCGAGAGCACCTGAGGCCCCAGGCCACCAGCTGTGTCCCATGGGGACAAGAGGAAGCCTCGTATGGCCAGCCCTGTGGCTGCCGTCAGCGGTGGGGTCTCTCCTGATTGACCATCTGGGTTCGGATCCCTTCAGACCCTGACCTGGCCCCAGGTGGATGAGTCTCTGGGGTGGGATGTTCTCGGTAGGACTCCGCTCACCCAGCCCAGGCAGAGGGGCTTGTGGGGGACGGAGAGCGAGGAGGTGGGAAGACGGGATGGAGGCTTAGAGCGGCCGAGTGTGGTCCGAGTTGGCCCCGTGTGCGGCCTGGGACCACGGTTCTCTCCTCGGTCTCACTTTGAAAGGTTGTATTTTATCAGTTCATTTTTTTCTAATCATTTTAATTACTTTATGCTCTATTCAGATAACATGAAAATTCAGAGAGTAAAAAAGCACTAAAAGGCCGAGCTGCGTCTGCCTTTCCTTCCCCCCAGCCTGCCACTTCTCTTCTATCTGCTGCTGTTTCTCTCTACCCTGTGCTCCTCCCCTGCCCCCACGTCTCCGGGAGCAGATTTCAAAACCTCCCAGCCCACTCCGAACATCTTCAGGTGCTTGAACCTCATCCAGAGAGGAGGCCTCCCGGCCCCAGGGCTTGGCAGCTCACCCCTGGCGGGGGTGGGGCAGGGAGCTGGGGGTGGGGAGAGACAAATAGGTTCCAGCCCTGCCTGGTCTCCCTCACGTGTCTCCCTGCCAAGGTCTGGCGGCTCCGGCGGTCACGTTCGCACGTGGGTCCTGGGAGGCTGGGGGCACCCCGCCTGAGCCTGGAGCGGCCCCGGCCCCACCCCGGGGCCCCCGGCAGGTCTGCTGGTTCTCCGGGTGGGGAGTGGGTGGAGCCGCAGCCATGCTACCCCGGGGCAGCAGCACGCTAGTTAACACTGTCTGTCTTCAGACCAGTGATTAAATTGTCCTGTGGACATCAGAGGGAAGCCAAAGGAATGCGCCGTGCCCTGGGTTTCTGTTTGGAGGGAGGCTTTTGGTAAACAGCGTTCTCATTCCTGCAGATGCTGTGGGCCGGAGCGAGCCTGCGCCACGGCCGGGCTTGAGCAATAGGCGGCCTGCTCGCTTTGTGTCTGCCGCCTGCCTTCAGGACGGTCCTGGGGGATGGGGCTCCCCTCCCCCACTGGAGCTCGCCCCAGCCTGGGCCCCTGCCCTTCTGCCCCCCAGGACTGCTGCCGTGCCCACGGCACTTTCAGATGCAGCACAGCGCTCGTCCCAGTCTGTCTCCCCGAGACTGGATTGCAGCTCCAAGGTGAATCATCTCACAGTTAGGAGAGAATTTTGTCATCGACCCACTGCGTGTAGTGTGGAATGAATGAGTGTTTTTAGGCTCTGGAGGCAAAATTAGAAAACGTCCCCATTCTGTGGTTATCACCACGGATTGGATGAGTTGTGTGGTGGCCACTGGCAGTTCTATGTTCTCCAGAGTGGTGGCTCTCCTGTCCCTCCAGCCTGGACACCAAGGGCTATAGTGACCCCTTCTGGCCAGCGGTGGCGGTTGCCTGTCATCCAGACTCTGGCCAGAACCCCTGCTTCCAAAGGGGTGTGGATCCTCCAGGTCCTAGGGTGGGAGGATTTGAGGGACATTTTTCCTTCTCCCTCTCAGCCCCACCAGACCCAGGATTGTTGTTGTAAATCATTGGCCTCAGAGGTAGGCCTTCTAGGACTGCTTTTTCACCCATGGATTGAATGAGAATCCTTGGAAAAAAGTTTTTACAAAACTTCAGGATCAGGGTGAACTTAGAAAACGAGGTCAGATATCCCTTTGTGGGGAGTGTGGGGTTGGCGGGGGACAGGTTCCTTTACTCTGCTTTTAAGTCGAGAGACACCGAGGGTCCAGCTCATGAGCCCCGCCCTCCGCCTCTCCAGGGGTCTGTTCTCTGGAGCTTGTGGGTCCTGCTCGCTGCCTGCCTTGTCCTCTTCTCATTGTCTGCACCCATCCCCTGGGTCAGCCTTAAGGGAAGCCCAGCTGCTTTTCTGAACTACGTGCATCAGCATGGCCATGCAGAGTCAGGCAGGTCTGGGACCTGCTGCTCTCGGTCCTGCTGAGGTCATTCTGGCTGCCGATAGGGACACCGGCCCCCAGCTGTCGGACGGGAGCCTTCCCAGAGCAGCTCCAGGAGCGAACCAGGGCCGCCACCTGCTCCCCTTGGAGCAGGAGCCCAGAGTGCAATGAGACGGGCCACCTCTCATCCCTTCCCTGCTGGCTCGTGGACAGGCTGTGGGTGTCTGTGTGGGAAGGGCATGGGGTCACCTTTCCTGAGCCTTGTCTCCTGTGCCAGAAACATGGGGGCTGGGGGCCCTGGCCTTCCTGGTGCCCACTGCCGTGCTCAGCCCGGGTCGCAGTGCCTGAGGGCACATGCACCTCAGGCTTTCTCGGCCGCTGAGCAGCCGGCCCTCTTCTGCTGACTTGGGGTCTGCTCTTCGTTTTCTGATTCCTAGATGGTGGGTGGGTTAGGTTGTGTGAAATTTTTCTATTTCTTGAGGTAGGCCTGTGTTGCTATGAACTCTTGGAAGTCTTAGAACTGGTTTTGCTACATCTCATCGATGTTGCAAAGTTGTGTTTTTATTTTCGTTGTCTCCAGGTATTTTCTGATCGCCTTCCTAGCACGTGATGCATCCTGGTGAACATTCCACATGTACTTAAAAAGAATGTACATTGTTTTTGGGTGGAATGTGCTCTAGTTATCTGGAAAGTCCAACCTGTCTGATGTGTCATTTGAGACAACTATTTCCTTATTGATATTCTGGGTGATCTGTCCATTGCTATTGTGTTATTGTCTGTTTCTTCCTTTGCTTTATATGTTTAGGTACTTCTGTAATGAATGTTACATTATTATATGATGCCCTTGTTTATTATAGACTTTAAAGTCTGTTTTGGTGGTAACAAGTGGGAACTGTGGGGGAGAGGGGCGGGAGCTGAAAGTGAGGATTCTGCCCAGAACTGAGCATGTTTACTGTGACCTCCCAGGGCACATGCATGTGTTCAAAGTGGCCCCTCCAGTACCCAGCAATTTCAGAAAGCAGGCAGCTGACAGGGAAGCACTTGAGGTGCATGGAAATGGCCCCCCTTTGGAACAGTTTGTTTTTCAGATTTCTGGGGTGGGGAGGAGGCATTACCACAACCGAGGGAGGTTTTCTTCAGAGAAGGAAGAATGCTTTAGGGAGCAGTGCCTGTGGAGGTAGCAGCTCCTGTTATACAGGAATGGAACGCCTCGGCCCCTTAGTGGTGGGTGTTCACATGTGACATCAGGCCCCAGGGTGTGACTGCCTCCAGCTGTAACCCTGCAGGTCCCTGGTGGGGAAAGCTTAACCCAGCCGCCCCTGTAGGAAGTCAGGATTTGGGGGTTTGGTTCCTCGGATGTTCCTCCGGCTACTGGGAATCGGGGTCTCACCCACAGGCCTGGGCCGGGCCCCTGGTGGCCAGCAGGCGCCGAGCTGAAGGCCAGCTCAAGTGAATCAGACAAGGCCGGCTCAGTAGCTACATTGTTTTAATCCTGTCCACACCCCCTCTTCACACTACCTTCCCCCCTCTGGTTAGTCCAGATGTGTGTGCTTATGAAGTGCCTCGATTATTTAGGAGAACAAAAAGCAGCTGTCAGTTCCTGTGAAAATAAATGACAGTTGCAAGGCTGGGTTCCCAACTGAATCTGGAGTTGTGATCAGGACCTGGCCCAGGGCAGCATGGGCCTCTCTCCAGCTAGACCTGGAGGAGCAGTGCCACGGCCGCCAGGATCCACTTGGCTGCCTTCTCCTTGGTCTTCAAGTTGAAGGTCCAGACGTAGGTGGGGCCGCGGATGCGTGTTTTGTACACGGGACACTCATAGATGTTCTTGGTCTCCATGCGGTCCACAGGGATGGCCTTGATGAAGATGACGGGCATGGCTGGTGTCAGCTCTTTCAGCCGCGCTTCGGCGATGACTCCAAGCTGGGTGTCCCAGCGAGCTCCTGCAGGGGCGGCACGCCCGAGGGTCAGGGTGGCCAGTGGTGAGGTGACTGGTGCCCGGCCTGGCTTGTGCCCCGACCCCTGCCAAGATGGGCCAGGGCCGGACTGGCACCAGGATCGTCACACATGGGGCTGCGAGCGGAGGACATGGCGGGGGCGTGTGTATCTCGCTGAGAACGTCCAGGGGCCGGCTCAGCCCTGGCGCTATTGTTTACATTCGTGGTGTTTTCAGAGCCTCGTGTGTCAGCCTTCTTGATTTCAGGGGCAGGAAACCATAACTCCAGCTCAAAGTGACCGATTAAAGCTCCCCTCTCCCCTCCCCTGTGGCGTCTGTCCCGTGTCCATGCGCAGTATAAACGTGTATACGCACATAGAACTGTTGTTGCCTTGAACCAGACTTATTTCTACTCACCCTATTTAATGACGCTGAGATTTCCTGTAATTCCACAATAAACATGGAGAACATCTGCTGCTGTGCTTATC